AAATATCATATGGTTAACACACATACACACAAAATATCATATGGTTAACACATACACACAAAATATCATATGGTTAACACATACACACAAAATATCATATGGTTAACACACACACACACACACAAAATATCAAATATCATCAGTACTATAGTTAATCCAACTAATTATTTCTGGTTTACTCTACGTAACTTACTCAGAAAATTGATGATTTTAATCAACTATTATGGTCAGTTCTTTACAATGAGTGTTGTAGCAGACAAAAATATAAACCTACTCAATAGGAAGTGAAATGCAGGCTCTAGCAGTAATGAACGGTGAAGAAATAACTCAATACGTTGTGATTAACGACATATGTGTGTGTGTGTGTATTTATCAAAAGTGCTTTTACAAATGGCATAAACCTTGTAAAGCAATGTCACTCAGGCCAGTCTCGTGACTTATAATACTTCATCCACTAATCTTGCTGTTGCTTGTATGAAAGGACCTTGTAAGATAACATCTTTTAATGCTGAAAAAAATTAAGCCCAAAACAAGAGTTCGCTTGTGGTCTCAGTTCAAAGTTTACAACATGATTTATACACATGCTATTACTTGGTTTTAAAATAATGCTTGCCTCAATAACTAATCCGCTGCATCCTTTGTTTATAAAGTGAGAAAAACGTCAAACTCAGCTACGCACGCGTATTTCATTACTATTTAATTTGTTTGTTTGCTTCTAGATTATTCATTTAAATCTACACAAGGGCTTTCTGCGCCTAATCGTCCCTAATATTGAACTGATAGAATAGAAAAAAAGGTAGCTAGTCAACAGCATCCACCGCCAACTCTTGGCAACTCTTGTCTGATCGAATAGTGGGATTTGACTGTTACTCTAACAGCGCATATACAGCCCCAATGAGTGGAGCGCATTTTCACGAAACGGAAGGCGAGCCGTGAGCCCTTGGATTCATAATTCAGACACTAGACCACACTCGGCCATTACTTTTTATACTAGAACCTGACTAAACTTATCTCACAGTCACCTTTAAAGTTTATTTTCAAACAATACATAACAATGTTAGAAACTAGATACTATATCACCATAACCTTTAGTACGGAAATATTGCTCCAAACTTTATATATTAAAAAAAAATAGTCGATTTATCAAAATAGGCTAGTCAATGTCTAAGTCTTATCTGCTGCCTTTCTTTATCTTATGATGTACACGTGACATTATTCAGTTTCCTGTGTTGATATGGAATTAGCTCGTGTCTGTATAGTAGTGTACTCTAAGAGTGCCCAATAATACAAAGTATAGCCCCCCCCCCTTTCCAGGTGGCTCAACGAAAAATGTGAGGGCTTGTAACGCTAAAATTGGGTTTCGATACCTGCGGTGGGCACAGCACATATAACCCACTGTATAGATTTGTGCTTACCAACAACAGAAAACATCTTAATTTTCTCTGGATGTTTTATTACTTAATAACTGGGAATTCATATGTTGACCACAAGAGATTCGACTGTTACATATTCAAAAATGGACATTACAAAAGTAACCCTAACCATCATATTTTAGTCTAGAACTGTAATGTGAAAGTATCACTCAGTTAGTTAAAACAAGTAGCTCTTTTTTTTTGTTGTTGTTTTGTTTTTAAACCAGAAAATAGATCATCGTTTAAAAGCCAGATCTTGTTTTAATACTGATATATATAAAATGACGTCTTTAATTACGGACGCTTTGAGATTGCTTTAAATTCCATCATCAGCGTTAAAACCTCAAAAAGTTAGTTCAAAATATTCTAACTACAAAAACAACATTAGCGATTGAGCGAGTAGTTTTCGTATTCCGTCGGAAGTTTAGAAAGAACAGATTTAAATGGCAACAATATAATGGAATGTACGATAAAACATGCGGAATACACGTGTTTAATACATAACATTGTTAAGAGAAACTATTAGAGAGAAAGGCTTAAATATACTTATAAACACTGCATGTTTAAAATAATAATAATATCAAATAAAAACACTGATAATTTGGAATTGATTACATTAATGACAACAGGGAGGAGTTGGTTTTATTATTTAGTGTCAGGTGATCATTGAAAATGAGGGACTTTTTTAATAAAAGAGTTCGTAATCTGTGATTCCTGAGTCGAGAATTCTAAAGTTTTCTAGAAGTATGGGGTGGTTGTTATTCTCGCTGTACAACCAGATACAAGACTCAGGTAGATTAGTTAGATTATATCCGCTTCTAGTTGAAATTCCCACGTGTTCGTGAGCACGTATTTGTACGTGACTTGTATTTTTGCCAATATAGGTAGCTTTAGAGCTACCACAAGTGTATTTATATACGACCCACGTGCGTATGGGAATGGTTCGAGTGTCTTTAGTTTTAAACATATTTATAATTCTAAATGTTGAAGTAAATACTAAACGTAGCTCAATTTGTGGGTAATATGTTCTGATTAGCTCTTGAATTTGATCTTTGAGTTTAAAACTTTGTTTGCCAAGGAAAGGAATGATAAGAACTAGCGGATATTTTGAGACAGTGTTTTACTTTTTGGTAGGTTCTATTTTACTTGTTAAACATTTTCGTGTTATAGGGTGTAGGAAATTAAGGGGATAACCATTACTTTGTAATATGTTATGAATTTTCTGGGTGAAGACAGAAGTAGTCACAACAGATATTATATACTCTGTTTAGAAGATTTAGAACAAGGTTATGTTTGAGGAAGTCTGGTATGAAACTGTTGAAACGAGTGTATAAACCAGTAAATGTTTTCTTACGGTAAACAGATGTAACAGAGATCGTTTATTTGAAACTCTAAAAAAAAACTAAGTTATTGTTTTCTTCCATTTCACATGTAAAGTTTATATATGAATGTTGTGCGTTTAGGTATTCGTTTTCCATCTGATGAAACAGTGACAAAACCATTATTTAGTACACATACCTTGGAAGGCGCCCTCTGACGGATACAGTCGTAGCGAGCTCTGTTACCTACAAGCACGTAAAGAACATATTACATTATGTGAAGTGTGAACAATGTCTGCTGGTTTCATGGTAACATAACTTTCGACTTGCTATTTTAGTTAATTAAAATGTATTAGCTTTAATAAAATTCACGTTTCTTAGTTTCCCACAACAACCAGAAACTCCTTAGATTTAATCAAAACTATTGTTCTTAACCTACAGTATTTAAAAATCAATAAAACTGTAAATAAAGTCTATTTAGATTTAATCAAAAGTATTGTTCTTAACCTACAATATTTAAAGATCAATAAAACTGTAAATAAAGTCTATTTATATTTAATCAAAAGTATTGTTCTTAACCTACAATATTTAAAGATCAATAAAACTGTAAATAAAGTCTATTTATATTTAATCAAAAGTATTGTTCTTAACCTACAATATTTAA